AAACATGTTCCGCGTATCGAAGACCGTTTCTTTACCGGAATTTGTCAAAATGGAGTTTATGAAGGTTATTTGGTTCAGTAGTCGAAGTAGTCGAACATCCCTAATTATTGAGCCTTTTAAACTTAAATGTTCAGGAGATTGGACTGTGTCATGTACGCATCAGTGAAGGACTTTCATCCCTGTTACAACTTTCCGGACTGGTTGCTAGACTGTGTGCTGTACAGGCTAGCTGATCTTCTTATGCATTAGAATGCTTTACTAAATACGTCTTACTGTATCTCAATCTGAAGTTCGGGTACGATTTCTTGAACAACTTCCCTCAACTGTCATTGGAAGCACGCATGTTCGCATCCTTTTATCCATATAGAACTACTTTACAATGAGTGAATTCTCCTGCAACCGTCAAATTACCCTTAGAAGCCGCGCATTATCTGTAGTTACTGTGTATTCCTTGAAACTTATAAATTAAAATTCATCGAGATCGTCATTATTCACTTTACTGTGTGAATCTTTTTTCTCTTTCTTGAGGTATGTTCCAGCAACAATTCCAGCGAATAAAATGGCACCCATCCACTGATTAGATTTAAACTTCTTCCAACAGTCATTACTGTCGTTAATGTTGACAGTACAAACTTGCCATGCCAAGTGAGCTGCAGTGCCTGCAAATCGGGCTATTAGCTATGTTTACAATTAGTTTACAACTCTAACTCGTTGCTACTGGCTTTTCTTGCCATAACTTTAGCCCTTGGGTCATTATTAATTCTACATAGAAATCTATACAAACCTGCTAAGGCTATGTAGTAAGGCCAAGTCTGTTCGACAATATATCCAGTCAGACCAAGACCAGCAATGGCAGCGGTACCAAAACCACACAGCCACGGCTTCGTGTTATCTCCAAATCGCAGCGCAGTAGACTTCACTCCTATCATGATGTCATCTGTCTTGTCCTGGAATGAAGTTCTTCAGAATCTTCGAACAAAAGCATGCTTTATAAGGAAGCACGAGAGGGATTGTTCACACCACATGCTGTGTCACAGCGTCTTAGGAAAGAAACCATCGAAAGCAACAATGACATGAGTGAGTGCAGTGGGGTAATAACGAGTACATGCACTAAGAAAATAGCTTAGTGTGAAAACGACCGACCGTGTGCTATTTCAATTTTAGACTTATTGCATTCGATTAACCGTTGACAAGTGAACACTGTATTGTATTAGATTGTGACGAAAGACGTTGGGCTGTGGAACGCCGGGATAACACACTTCCAACAGGACTTGATATAACCTGATGTGCGTAAATAGTATCGTAGAGGAGAGTCCACTGAAGGGCAGCTAGGTAGAGGGCAATCGGCGCAGAACTGAGCGACCCCTCAATAGCCGACCAGCCCAGAAGAGCACCCCAGTTGAAGGTGAGTCCTGCAGCAAAGTCATCTCAATAGCCATTTCATCAAACTTGTACAATTTACTTGACACTTCAGGCGGTTCGTGTATTTATTCGTCTGTGAGACAGCAATACAAAACAGGACTGTAGACATTTCAACCTGTTGCAAAGTTTGTACTCAACGAATTGAGACGCAACTTAAGAAATATGGAAAGCGATGCAGTTATGCACATTGATCGACATTCTCGTTACATTACATCAACGTAATATTTCCTAGAATGTTAACCAAGAAGATGCGGAACTGGGTTGCACGAAAATTATTTTTTCTAAAAAAACTGTTTTCTTGAGAAAAAAGTCCAATAGGGGACTCGTTTCTCCCATTCAAACCAATTAAAAGAAGCCACAATACAAAGGCAGTGGGTACGATGGTTAAATTAAATGAAGAATGGAAGCGGTGGAAGAGGTCAGCCAGCGGGAAAACGGAGAAAAATCCGTCAGAATCTCACGAAACAGAGTCATCACTTTTGTAGTTGAATAAAAGGTTGCACAAGAAGAACGATGAACTATAATGGATACTTGTTGATCTCCGGGCGTTTCTGGAATAATCGAAACCTTTTCTACGCCGCTGCACTCGGCTTCCATTTAGAATCGTAGTGGGATATTGAATGCGTAAGTGGCCTACAGGATGTGATCAATCTCTGAGGGATCCGCCTGCGCATTCGACTCCTATTCATGGGGGACGGAACCTCCACCCAGAACTGGATGGACGCGTCAAACCGCGCGGCAAAATTCGTGGTGTTCAAAACGACTCTGGCGCCTATCATTGGGGCACAAATTTGAAGTGGGATAGATAAAAAGCATCAGCTGGCCCTACATATATAATCTGCTTGAAACCCGTGCTCAAATGATAGGCGCCAAAGCCGTTTCAATCACCACGAATTTCGCCGCGCGGTTTGCCGCGTCCGTCCAGCTCTGGGTGAATGTGCCCACACCCCCTATTCAGAATGTGACCCATACAATGACTTGTGGTAGCCAGTCGATGTGCAAGTCAGTGTTTCCCTTCTCCTAGACGAGTCTGCTACCAATCAACCGACCCCGGAGGGATGAGAGGTTCAGTGGGCTAGGCGGATATGGATCCCGGATTCGAAACTGACCGTGTGTGTGACATAGTGCGCCACTTGCCACTATACTACCTCCGCCCTTTCGAAAAGGAAAATGAGAAAACATGAAAACTGATAGGAACAGGTTCCCGGATTTCATTGGATAGAGTAATTTCGTAGGATCCATATACGCTAACCCAACTAAACCTTCCATCCCTCCGGGATCGGTTGATTGGTAGCAGGCTTGTGGGGGGAGAGTGAAAGCACTGACTTGAACATCGACTGGCCACCGCAAGTCATTACATAGACCACATACGATTTTGAATAGAAGTCGAATGCGTGGGCGCATACCTCAGGCGTGATTAATCAACGCCCCAAGACTTTATTTATTCATTAGGATGCCAAATGGTATTTGATGAAACAATAAACTACTTTTAGTCTAATTACGCTGCTACTGGCAGATCCACCTCCACCTCCCTTCCTTCCCGAACTCTTTTTCGGGGTGCAGGTGTTCTATAATTACACTTCAGCTTATCGTATCCACTGCCTCAAGTAACAAAATAAAGATGGCTAAAAGTACGACCTCGAACCAAAAACATTACCGACATACACAAGAGTATATACTAGAACTTCTTCACAGTGCCTGGGCAGCCGAAATTAGTTTCTTTAGCGCAGCGAGCTGGTTCACTTCAGCGAAAGCCCAGCTTATGAACCGATTATCGCGTGCTATACCTGTCATTCTTCTTCTATTATCACGATAAGTGTAACAAACGAAAGGCAGTTTGCGAATGCTGGCAAGGAATCGGAAAAAAAAGTAAGAAAAGAAATAAGTAGAGCACAGACATAGACGTTCAGACAAGACCGCCCATTTACAACTGAACATGTTCATGAAGGTCTTTATGATATGACATGGACCAGTCTGAGAATTAGTGGCGTGCTTAATATTTATGTGGCGAGACCAGCAGAAGCTGTGGCATACAAGGTGGACCGCTTGCGTTTTCATAGAGAATTACCAGAAGTCGGTTTTGGCTGGCCTCTTCTGAGTGTTGTTGTAACTAGACTGGCGCGTTTGGGCGCTTGGTCGGGTAAGCCACGGATCAAGAGCTCCGAACTACTTTCATGTCCTTAAAGAGTACGACGATCCGAAAATCACAAGGATGGCCAATTGTGGGCAAAACTTGGCCTTCCGACGAGACTCGAACTTGTACTTGTGCTGTCCGCAAGCCGCTGCCCGGAGTTCGGCTCAACGCGTTGTACGTGTGAGTGCTGATAAGCAAGCATATAAGCCATTAAGAAGGCGAGGGCAAGCGGAGCTTCGGTAGTATGAGGGATAAAGTGCACAGAAAGCACAAGTACGGGTTCGAGTCCCGTCCGAAGCCGAAGTTTTGCCCACAAACCGCCACCCTTGTGAGACAATTACGATAGATTTGAGAGCAGAAAGAGCTCTTCTGAATTGTCATTCGTCATACATTTTGTCAAATAACGCAGAACCACTTAGGAGATAGTTTGCAAGATATCTATGCTCACTGTAGCAATTGTTATGCTGCAAGAAACATATCGTTAGCTCAGAGTCAAGTCCAACACATGAAGAAGTTCACTGAGCGATTCACGGCGTACACAACACAACAAGTAGCACGAACATCCCCCACGGACTTGCAATCGTCAAAAGCACACTCCAGCCAATTCACAGAACTTTCACTGTTAGGCATACTTCTCAGTTCGAACCAGCACCTCCAAATTTCAGGAGGCAAATTTCTGCGAGTCAGGGATAAAATGCCAGACAAAAAAGGCTATTTAGCTATCTAGCTATTTAGCTATTCTAGCTATTTAAACAGTAGTCCTTTACAAAAAGGCAAGCTTTCGGTTCGAACTCGACGTTTTACCATGAAGCTGCCCAACGGTGAAAGATTCTTTCTAGAAATGGTGGAAAGCTCAAAATGTTGGCCAGAAATTGCAAAAGTCTTAGTAAACCTGATGGCTATATATTGTGTCGTAAATTACAGTATGGAGTACCGTAGAGACGTAGAGCGGTAATACCGTATAAAACTGATCCCGAGGCAACAGTTCAGCCCATGCAATCAATACACCCCAGTTGAGGGTGGCTCCTGTAACGAATCTTACACTTCTACACCTGAACCATGCTCATAAACCGTACAAAAAAACAATATGGAAACGCGGCAAATGCGGTATTCTGCGATGTACTAAGGAATCGTTAGATTATAAGTATAAGGCTGTTTATCAGATAGGAGTCGCAGAAACTGGTCAAGTAGCCCGGCACAATCCAGCCTACAACATCTACTCTTTCACGGCGAAAAAAATCTTGTATAGGTGGGCATATTGTGTACGAAGCGAACGTAACAACCCATAAAGGCGACGTCTACGTGAGCTTCTTCCATACAAAATAGAAAGAGAATGTTCACTTACAAAAATTGACGTTTTGATTACTTGAAACTGAATCATTTCAGCTAAAAATCGCTGTTTCTCGGCATACCGGTCCAAGACTTATCTCCTGTTCAGAGTGATGCTTTTGTATTGCTTCTGGAGGCAAATAGCGGCGCAATTATAATGCGGACAAGATCTTCGCATTAATATTCTTTCGGAAATAATACATAGATACAATATTCCATGTATTTGCGCTACTGCCGCTCAAACGAAAAGAAAGAGTTCTATAATCTTCTAACATTCTAGTACTATAATCATAACATTTGAGAATTTAGATTTTCTGGTGGTACGATCCTCAACTCCGAAGCAACACCAAAGGAAACTGCTCACCCCAGCACAAAACAAAAGGCGAACGTTTAATAAATCTATAAAGAAAGCTCACCTAAGACGAACTGAGGCCAATAAGTGTAACGCTTCGCCAGTGGATATACAACTACTAAAAACATTGATGCTGAGCCGACCGCAACACTGAAAATCTTGAATAAAAACTAACACACTTCCTCCTGTTAAAATACGATCAATGTCCAGTAACTGTATCAATTCAAACCAGAAATAACTCCACACACACTGTATTTAAAGCAAGGGTTGACCTTATGAAAGATTGTGCAGCTATACAACAGTTTTCTACCCCTGTTCGAGAATAATGGATGTCATTGAAGCTATGAGAAATGTTACTTTAAGTAAAACGCTCAAAACTAGCCAAGATGTATGAAAGAGTATCGACTAAAAAAGGCTGCTAAAAAGCACGCTATATTAGGAGTGGCAGTATCATTTGAAACCAGTCTCTGTCCAAGTGAACCTCTTACCGTCATGAATCTTAACAACTCTAACAAATCTAGCCATCAAAGTAGAGCTGGAAGTATAGCTCCCTAATTATGAGTGGAACTGACGGATTATCATATTTGTAAAAGGCTTCTATACGTCATAGGATTCAATACAATAACATAAACAGTCTTTTTTCCATAAAGTTTGAGTTCGTAGCCCTCGCAAGCAACTCAAGCTGTTGGAAGGCAATTACCTGAACCAATTCATCTGCAATAGGACAGTTAAAGATGTCGCCAGCAATCCACCCAAAAGTGCTATTGCCTGCTTGTCTGTCAAAGAACCACAGGCGAGAGGACGGTTTTTCGTGCGCTCAACCTTGAAACAT